ATGCTTGAAAATGTGTTGTCATGTTGAAATAACTCTTCTTTACTTAAATAAAAGTGTAAAATAGTGGTGCTTGTGATGTAAAGAAACACTCAGCTGACGAACCCGCTTTCGCAAACTTTTTTCTCAAAACCAGTTACAAATACAACGTCGCGTTCTTACGTGATCTTGTATTTTTGGTTCATGCTTGCAACTTCAGCTTTTTATCAATCATGGTTGTATTTTAGTCCATTTAAATTTGCAGATTCTTGTAAATTCAGTGCTGCTACAGCCTTAAATATTTCAAATTATTTCTGGTTTTAACTATCTCGAAGTAAGTTTAGTTCAGAAAAAAAGCACTAAAAAAGGCACTAGGCACTAAATAATTTTTTTTGGCGTTTTAATTTTCAAAAAGCACTAAATCTAGTGCTTAAAGCACCAAGTTGGCTACTATGTCATTAGCTCTGCCCTCGCGAGGGCGTCGTTGCGAGCGAGGCACTCATTTGCAGCGGCAGACGATCGGGGCAAATGAGGCAAGCAGGTTAGAGCGGAAAACGGGTTGATTGGTCAGCAAAAATGTATGGGATAAAAATTGCGTTAACTAAGAATTTCGAGTAAAGGATTGTACGCACACATGCAGATATGCATTTACCCTGTAGTAAAATTTAAAGACAGTCTGACAAAGCGCTAGTTCCGAACTACATATCTCAGAACTATCTCTGAACTAGTACAAAAGGAATGCAGAGCGGGACAGTTGAAACTTGCGGTGTATATGTGCAAATGCTCACAAATGCGGTGGAGGCAGTTGTGTTTTCAAATTTGATGAATTTAAATTGTTGCGTGCAGCTTACAATATTTTTTTTTTTTTATAAAATATGTAACAAAAACGGAATCTGTAAAAGAAAAGAAAAAACGAAAACAAATGTCCAAAAATTGAATCGCAACAACGTTTTCTTATAAGAAAAACTAATAATTAATTTGATGAAACTTTGTTGATTTGCTTTTAATTTTTGTACAAAGTTTTAAACTTGGATTAACAAGATTTTGTTATGGAATGAACTATATTATTTATAAAAAAAAGTGAATAAAACTAATTTGAAAATAAAAAACCAAAATAAAAATCCGAAACTGATCCATATTGGGTGACCTATACACTCATACGACTGAAAAAATTATAACCAATACTGTTCCTTGGTAATGTGCCACAAATATTAATTATTAAATTTTGTATTCTTACTAAATAACTTAAATATATACGTTTTCTATACCCGCAACTTTATTGGCTTTTTATTTGATTTTGACATACAATGTTTTAAACCAGAGATGGGCAAAGTGGCTCCCAGGAGCCTTTTGCACTTAGGAGCCGGCTTGGCACATTTAGGTGGTAGATGAGGGGTAACATCAAGAGCCAGCATGAAGGGGGGAAAAAGAGCGTATTCAAATTTCTTGTACTCCGACTCTCATTACTAATATATATGATGCTTTTAATGTATTTTGTACACCCCTTTACCCTGAGAACTGATTTAGCTCTTGCGTAGCACTTGCTGGCTTTTTGATGGCTTAAGAGCCAAAAATTTGCCCATCCCTGTTTTAAACCATGACAAGACGAAATCATGCGACCTTTTACAACAAAAAAGGAAAGTATCTCTCGACAGAGAAGATGGAAACAATTCAAGTAAGTACTCGATACTTTGCCGATACTGAGTAGGTATCGATACTTTCAGTCTTTTGAGTACAAGTACTCATTAGAGTGATACCTAGGAACACGTTTATAAATTTGTTTACTTTTCTTTAGAGAACCCAACCAGCACAATATAACCAGTAAACAACCACAGTATATACAGTAATAAACCTTTTCGCAGTTTTTCAACAATTGGTCCCCGAGGAGTACTTTTGGGTTGTGTGCAGCGTTTTCGTTTTGTGCGCACGGCAACACTAGCTGTGGGGAATTTCGCCTCGTGATTAGAAAAAGTTCTTTTCACGGATAAAATATATGTAATTATCAGGCATGTTCTGCAAATTGTACGATTTCAAATCGGTGCGATTTATAAAATCTAATTCGGAGGATTTATAACAAAGAGGGAAAAAAATGATATGGTTCTGGCAGTTTCCATTTGAAACATTTAATAATTTGATTTCAAATATACAAAACTACTTTGCAAATCGCACCGATTTGAAATCGTACGATTTGCAGAACATGCCTGTATGTGTTATTTATGAACAAAATGTAGGTGAAGTATAATATTAATGCTTAATTAAGAATAATGTCAATAGTTAAGTACATAATTAACGCTTGTGTTTCTATAAACTGGAAAACTCAAATCGTAATTATTGCACTGAATTGAGTTCTCTTAAATGTAGATTTAAAATTTTAAAAATATTCATTGTAAAATTATCATCCCTATTCTGCAACTCTTTCGTATTCGGATTTTGCTACGAATCGTAGAAATAGTATGCTGCAATCCGAATCGAACTTTCGAAATTCGTAACAATGACATGCTTAAAAATGAACGAGTGGGCTTTTTTGCGTAATTTTGTACGAAAACAATTCTGTGTCGGGGGCGAAATAAAAGATGTAAATCGATGTGTGTTTGCAAGAAATATTGGTGGTGTTCATTTAAACAGATAAATTTGTCTTTCGCATATACGTATATTTTTATCCACTGCTTTATATAAACGAGCAAAAAAGAATATTTGTTGCCCCTTATC